AGTGCAGTACAGCGTCATCATATTACTGGCATGGTGGTGATCAGGGACACTGACTGGTGACAGTGTGAAAAAAAAAAAAAAAATATATATTTTTTTTTAATAAGCAGTACAGCGTCATCATATAACTGGCATGGCGGTGATCAGGGACACTGACTGGTGACTGTGAAAAAAAAAAAAAAAATATATATTTTTTTATTTTAAATTTTTTATAAAATGTTTTTTCTTTTTTTTAAGATTTTTTTTTCATATTTCACTATGTCCAAAGTAGTACAATGTTACCATAGTAACATTGTACTACTTTGGGGAAGTGATCAGTATTTTTTTTTTTTTCACACAATTTGCTTATAGCAAAGGATTACTTTGCTATAAGCAAGCATTTACCTGAATGACATCGATTCATTCAGGGTTTTTTTTTTTGTGCTTAGCTGTGATTTGGCTACAGCTAATCACATGACATGTGCATGTGATTAGCTGTGACCATTCACAGCTAGACACTAGTATACAATGGATGGCATGAATGAAGCCATCCATTGTATACAACTGTCATGTGACCTGCTGTGATTGGTCACAGCAGGTCACATGGTACCGGCAACGGGGCCGGTACTCAGATCTGTCACCGGCCGTGTCCGAGGTACACGGCCGGTGACAGATCGCGCCGCTGTGCGGCTCTGCAAGCGCACGAACTGCGCATGTGCGGGAGGACGCCATATGGCGGCCTCCCGGAAAGCTAGTACATTTTTACGGACGCCATTCGGCCAAAGGCCGGGAGTCAAATGGTTAAATAAGTAAATAAACAAATAAGTAAATATGTACAAAACACAAATATAGATCCCCTTTAAGTCATTTGACAATTTCTTCTGGGGGACTCCTGGGTCTGCACACCAGAAATGCCCTTGTTTGGAATGTCTGTCTCTTCCTGATTAATTTTATATTTTGTATTATGAAATGCAAGGAGCAGGAATATACAATGTTGGGCAGAAAGACCTAAATCTCCCAGGTGAAGAGCAACAAAATTAGGACTTACAGCTGAGAGATCTCACCCACTTTGGGGTTTTGAGAGAAGTAGATGCCATGGACCAGCTAAGTCTTAATGCCTGACCAGAAAGTCAGTTTTTGGGTGCTCTAAACTTTCCCTCTAAATGAAAGATATAGGTATGACAAAGATATAGTTCCTCCTGAAAAAGTATCTCTTTCATAATTTGGATCACCATCTCCAGTCCATGGTTGGCTCCTCTGCCAAATTTCTTACCTACAGAGAAAATAACCCTAAAAAGGAAATTCATTTCTGCCACTTGCACTCACTTTCTTTCTCTTTTGATATTTAGCCATGATTATAGGTGATTATATAGATGTAGACTCGTAAACCACAAGTAATTCACTGGCCAGGCCAAGTCAGGATCACCTAGCCAAGAACTTTGTGTCCACATTGGACACATCATGGAGCACATCTTAGGAATGCAGGAACAAATGTAAAGTACATCTAAAGCCCAAACTGTTTTGGGTAAATGAGTATATATTTTATTCAATCAAGTGTCACATGACAATACAGACTCTGCAACTATAACTCTTTTTTGTTTGATAAAGTAGTGAAGTTTTTATTGTCATATGTGCCGCATTTGGGAAATTTTCCTTTGTTTCCTATTCAGCAGGAAGTGAGAAGATATCTCTCCAAAGTGAGGGGAAGTCCTTTCTTAGACAGTTGTCATTGTCCTAGATTACCTGGCATTATATTAGTGTAGCTATCCATCTTTAGTGATTCTGAACTTTTTTCTATGGCACAGCAGCAGTAATATTTTGGAGAACTTTATCCTGGGTGATCTGTACTTAATTTACTTAACTTCAGCATAGTCATCTCTTATCTGGTTAGGCAAATTTGGCATTTGTCAGTAAAATATTTATTTTGCACTTTGACTTTGCTTTGTACTCCTTAGTTTTCCATTTGCCTGAACTATTGGTACATTACCATAAAATGATTTAGGTATATGCACTGCTGTGGCTCACTGTTTATACATTTCATGGTACTGAGCAATCATCTAGTTAAAAAGATCAAATTATAAGATGGGTTAAAGTGGTTCTAAAGCCTAAACATTTTTTTTTTAATGCATTTTTTGTATTAAGGTATAGAATATTTTAGCATTAGTATTGCCCCCCCCCCCCTTATACTTACCTAAGCCTTCTGTCAGGAAAGGCTTGCCCATAGCGCAAATAAAGTTTCCCGGCTCATAAATATGTGCATGCGTAGACCGGCACCTGGCCTGGCAGATGTGCACAAACATGAGCATGGGCACCCGCCTGTCACCAAGGCTGGCACCTAGTCGTCTATTTAAATGGCGCTACTTCACTGGCTAATTGCTGTTTGGTCTGCAGCTTCTGTGTGTGTTTACCCTGATTCCTGTGTCTGACCTCTGATCTTGACCCTGCTTGTTCCTGATTCTGCTTGTCTGCTACCTGCCCTGACCTCGGCTTGTTCACAGGATACTGCCTCTGCTTGCTGCCTCTGCCTGATCTGCCTCCACCATTGCTGACACTGGCCTATGATCCGATTTCTCTCTTTTCTTCCGTTTCTGCCTGATCTGCCTGTCTGTTGCCAACCCGGCTTGTTTCACCCTGGATCTTGCTCTTCCAACCTGTTACAACTCCTCAGTCCAGCATGCCGTCATCTGGCTCATCTGCCTGCCACCAGCCTGCCCTGCTGTGACATCTGCCTGTCACCAGCCTGCCCTGCTGTGACATCTGCCTGATGCCAGCCTGCCCTGCTGTGACATCTGCCTGCCATCAGCTGCTCTGTTCCTGGCATCCTTCCAGCAAAGTGTCGGCTACTACCCACGCAAGTCACTGGACTGACCACGGGCACTCATACCTCACTGTAATCTCGTGGTTACTGATCCACTATCAGTGGCCCCTGAGCTGGAGCGGAACATGAGGCCTTCCTCTGCCCGTCAGGCTCACTCATCAGATACGTGACACCTTCATTTGATCCAGCGTTGTGCACATATGCAGCTCTTCTCTCCCCTCACTTCTGAGTCTCACTGGCTTTGCTGAGGCAGCGGTAGCCCTTTGCTCCCACTTCTGTCAATCAGAGCTAGTGATGAGGAAGCGGGGGCATCAATGGATGAAACAGCAGGGCTCGGGAGCAAGCCCACACAAGTGCCCCCATGGGAAGCGGCTTCTTATTGGGGGCACTAGCCAGAGAGAAGGAGCCAGGCATACCAGTGGGTAACCCGAGAAGAGGAGGTGCACAGCGCAGGTAAGTATAGACATGTTGATTATTTAAAAATATTCTTTGCAACCACTTCTGTCAATCAGAGCTAGTGATGAGGAAACGGGGGCATCAATGGATGAAACAGCAGGGCTCGGGAGCAAGCCCACACAAGTGCCCCCATGGGAAGCGGCTTCTTATTGGGGGCACTAGCCAGAGAGAAGGAGCCAGGCATACCAGTGGGTAACCCGAGAAGAGGAGGTGCACAGCGCAGGTAGGTATAGACATGTTGATTATTTAAAAATTTTCTTTGCAACCACTTCTGTCAATCAGAGCTAGTGATGAGGAAGTGGGGGCATCAATGGATGAAACAGCAGGGCTCGAGAGCAAGCCCACACAAGTGCCCCCATGGGAAGCGGCTTCTTATTGGGGGCACTAGCCAAAGAGAAGGAGCCAGGCATACCAGTGGGTAACCCGAGAAGAGGAGGTGCACAGCGCAGGTAAGTATAGACATGTTGATTATTTAAAAATATTCTTTGCAACCACTTTTAGCTAATACTGCTTTTGTATTTTTCAGTTGCTGCCATATTTACAGCTGTTTTGTGTGTGTTGGTGACCACAGCACATGGTGTTGATGACAGCAGCAAAGGTTGAGGATGCTGTTAGTAAATAATACATTTCATAAAAAGGATGATACATATAAAATAAAAAAAACACTGGCATAATTTCAGATGTAACTCTTACAGATTGAAGACTTTACAAAATGCCTCACTTTTTGTAGTTGCAGTTAAAGCCACACAGCTTAGTCAATGACCATCCCAGCTGGTGACTGGTTAATGAAGGAGCAGCAATACTCTTCAGCCTACTATAAGACCTACTATAAGACCTACTCTGTAGGCAGCACCCTGGGGCAACATAGTAGTCCCACTGGCTTACAATGCTTCCCCCTACTCTCCTAGTCTAAACCATGTTGTGCATTGAGCATAAGGAGGTCAATATAATGACAGAATTTGGGTACTATTTTAAAATACATTTAGAAAATTTTAATTAATGCATATATAGTGTCCCCTGGTGGCAGGGTGTTTAGCCAACTTATTTGGAAGAATAAGTCACCTCTAACACTGTGTCCTACTTGTATGAGGGTTGCTGCATTATATTAAACTATTAGTTTAGTTTTTTACATTTTAGAATGGGGTGCCTCGAGGTTGTGTAGAATTTTAAAGGGTGTCTCAAGATTGTGTACAATTTTAATGGGTGTCTTGACTGAAAAATGTTGAGAAACACTGTCCTATTCAGTCTGTCCCAAGGTCATGTCGGTAGTCACAAGAAAATTCTACATTCACAAAGCTTTAGTCTGACTTCAGTGGTTACAGACTAGATACCAGACACCCAAGGCCCATGCCACACGGGGGCTGGGTCAACAAGTGCATGACACTTAAAGTAGAATTTTAGGCATTTTTTTTTATTTTGGATAGAGCAGAGTGGGGTTATTTCCCCTGTCAGATTTTTTTCTTTTGCCATCTGTGTCCGATTGCGGAGAATTCCCTTCACTTCCTGTCCCATAACCAAACAGGAAGTGAGAGAAAATCCCTACAAATTCCTACAAAGGAAATTTCTTGGGGACCCCCAGGCCATACAAACTAGTATGCCCATTGGAAGATTTATCCTCTATTTTCTGGGGAAAACCTAAAATTTGGGATTTTCTTTTTCTTTCAATGATAATGGTAAACAGGACAAATAGAGGGGGTGAATCGGGGCACAGACTGACTGGGGTTCTAATACCTCTCCATTCTATCCAAAACGGAAAAAAAAAAGGTTTTGCCTTTAGTTATACTTTAACCACTTCCCATCCGGCCCATGTATATAAACGGCTGAACGGGAGCAGTGCAGGGGCGGGTGGCCGTTTATAAACTTCCCTGCTTGTGCGCGCTTACTGGGAACGCGCAGCACCACGAACCAGTGCCCACTGTGTGCTCCGGACACAGGGGAACACCGATTGCTGTACGGGACTTATGTGTGAGGTCCCGATCATGTGATCACTGATTGGCCAATCAGTAAACACATGAATAGTAGTAAGCAAGATGTCACTTCTGACATCATTGATTACTACGTGTGAAATCTGTGAATGATCACAGAGATCACATGGTACAAGGCTATTCACAACAGCCTTGTACCATGTGACAAGCTGTGACCAATCGCAGCTCACACAGTATTTCTCAATGGCTGCAAAAATGCAGCCAGAGAGAAGGAGCAATGATTGCTTTTACAGCCTTTATGGGTGTAAAAGCAATCAGTGTAAAAAAAAAAAAAAATCTTCATCACCCCCCACAAGTAGTACAGTGTCACTATGGTGACACTCTACTGCTAGAGTGACAGTATGTTAAAAAAAAAACCCATAAAAATAATAATATAAAAAAATAAAATAAAAATGTAAAAAAAAGTTTGAAAAATTACAATTTTTGGTTATAAACTAATTTGGGTTATTTTTTTTCTAAAAAGCTAACTGAATACATTTTGTCCAAGATTTATCAATAAAGATTATTTATTTGCAAAATTTTATAAGAAAAACACCTTTTTTCAAAATGTTTGGACTTTTTCATTTATATAGCAAAGAAAAAAAATCCCAGTGGTGAATAAATACCACCAAAATAAAGTTTTATCTGTCTCAAAAAAATGCTAAAAAATTCATATGAGTACAGTGTTGCATGCCCGCGCAATTGTCATTCAAAGTGTGATAGCACTGACAGCTGAAAATTGGCCTGGACAGGAAGGGAGTAAAAGTGTCTGGACGTGAAGTAGTTAAGGAACCAATTAACTTACCACCAGGCAAGTGAACCTTAACCCATCAATCCACCACTCATTGCACTCATTCATCTGCCTCCTTCTCCCTCATTTGCCAATGCCTCTCCAAAACAAAAATGTGTATGTTTTTGTCTCTCTATTTTTCCCCCTCACTCCTACTCTCAACCCACAAATAGGAATAGGTCAGAAGAAATAACCTGCAAAATGCAAAGCAATTTAACGTGCATAAAAATACATTGTCAACACATGTTAAAATGTGCATCAATGTGCATATAAATGCTGTCAATACACGTCAGTGGAAGGCAATGCACATCCATTTTTAAAGCACTTTTATGCATGTTAATGCACATTTATGTGTGAACAGTCCCTAACTGGGCTGAACAAGATGTTTTTGCTTCTACCTATACTTTAAAGGGACACAGTAACATTGACCATGCAAAAAAAATGACAAGGTTTTTGCAAAGTCACCCCCTCTGACTTACTAATACTTACCTTGGCAGTGCTCATTCCCCATCTCCTCCTTCATCACAACCAGCTCTAGGGGAAGTGGTGACAAAACTATCTGTGTCATGTGATGATACTTGGCCTTGGACTGGGCTGCTAGACCTGAACCAGGGGCGGACTGACAACTCATGGGGCCCCCGGGCAATAGGGGATCATGGGGACCCTGTGTCCTTGCCCAAACTCAAAAAAGCCTATGAAAAAGGTACCAGGGGAATCTCATGGGGCCCCCTACTGACCCCGAGCCCTCGGGCAGTGCCCAGTTTCCAAATGGTCAGTCCGCCCCTGACCTGAACACTGCCTTTTGGAGAGAGGTTACACGCTCATCCATTCCAGGAGGCATCGGGTATAGTCACCGGCTGTACTGAAGGAAGGAGCTGCAAGAGACAGCAGGCAAGGTGAGTATCGGTGGGTTTGTGGGACACCTTTGCAAAAACTCTGCCACTCTTTTCCTGAATAGCCAAGAAGACCGAGTCTCTTTAAATCACTGATCAGGAATAAGCATGTAAAAAAGGACTTCTGACTATTGACTTAAAGCAAGAAGATACAAAATACACAAATTATGCAGCATGTAATCATTTATACATAATTCTTCTTTAATTCACACAGTGTAAGTAACCAAATTTAACCTAGTATCAACCTCTTGCAGTCCCTGTACAACAGAGGTCAGATTGGCAGAGGGAGAAGCAATACAAAGAGCCAGACAATTTGGGGTTTATTTACTAAAACTGGAGAGTGCACAAATAGGCTCATTTCTGCATAGAAACCAACTAGCTTCCATGTTTTATTGCCAAAGCTTAATTGAACAAGCTGAGGTTAGAAGCTGATTGGTTTCTATGCACAAATGAGGCAGATTTTTCACTCTCCAGCTTTAGTAAATAAATCTCTGTATGTGCAAATAAATGTACTGATAGGAGGAAAGAGTAGAGTGACAGAGATATGATTTCATCATTGTGCTGCTTCTCCTTTCCCTGTGCAGTCACAGGCTGGGCAGGTCTATGACAGCTTCAACTCAGAGTAAGTGGCTTGGGTGATGCTGATGGTCAAACTGAGGACATGTAGGGGTCAAAAAGAAATACTTCAGAGAACAGCTTTGGGTTTAATGTTACTATTGCAAGAAAAACTACACTTTTTATTTTAGCTTTTAGGGTCCATGCACACTGGGCTTAAAATATGCCTGTTCTCTTGGTTCACGTAGACCGTTTTTGTACAGGCATTTCGGAGTGTTTCACAATTTTGTTTTGCCTGAATAATACTTTTTTTTCTGCCTCTAAATGCTAAGCTTCAAATATACCTTTAAACGTTCTAATGTGCATGGACACATAGGATAACATTGAGCTGCATCTAAAGGTACAACACAAAACTGTAGAAGCAGCATTTTTTATGCCCAGTGTACATAGACCCCCAATGGGTTATTGCTTTTTACCTTGCTATTTTTGGCTGGAGGTCTGCTTAAGTTATCTACATGTTCTTGTTCCAGAGACCAGTTAAAGAAGAACTCAACTTGGAAAGCTTTGCCTTAAAATGGCAAGCAGAGAGCACTGGCTTAGTGTCAGCATTGCTTGTGGTCTTCCTGCACCTGATCTTTTCCCAGTTACTGATTTACCATGTCTTGTTCTGCACTGTATCTCTGTGTGGAGGTGGCCATCTTGGTAGGGGCAGGGTGTGGCTTCTTCATGTCAGAGCCTCCAGCAAGGAGAACAGTGAGTAGCACAGTAGTGACATCAGCAAATTTTATTCTAAATCTCCAAGAGACCAGGAGTTAGAGACATCAGTGCCTTAGATCATACCCTGCAGGTATACAACTATGAAGGTGTGTGCACAGAAGTGCCTAGGCACACTCACAAACCAGGAGGCATTCCAAACAAACGGTATCTATTCAGGGTACTATTTAGGCACAATCAACATTTTATAGATGTTTCCCATAACATAGCAAATCTTCTCTTTTAAAGTGGATGTATGCTTACCTTGGATCTAGTGATGAAACATCTCGGAGCTCCCTGCCGGCTGTTGTCATCTTCGGGTGGCCATCTTCTGGGTCTCATTCGCCGCCAGCATTCATTGGCCAGGAAAGGGTGACATCCCTCACATGCATACACTGGAGGGCAGTTAGCTTTGGCATTGCCGAATTTCCCCAGTGAGCTGAGTGTGCACAGCTCACTGTACAGGGGCGGAAGGCAGTTAAGTAACTTTAATTGCAGAAGAGACAAAGCATGTTTCTTTTGCATTAAAATACCTGCCTATTAGCCCTTTTTTTTTTTAGCTAAAGTTCCACTTTAAGTTCAGGTCAACTCAGGGGTCAACTCAGGGGTCATTATAACATTCAGGCAAAATAGTATTTTTCCAACAAGGTCAGAAATGGCATATTCCTCATAACAGGTATATTTATAAAACATTTTCCTGCAAATTACAAAAAAGAAAATGGAGCAAAGCTGTGTTTGTTTAACCTCCCTGCTGTTGCAATTTCACAAGAATTTGATCAAAAACTGATAAAAAAATGGGTCATTTCTTATTGAACAGAGTAGGTTTACAGTGCTGCTGAGCTTGGTGAATAATTGAATAAAGAAATCCAATTCCTGTCCTAATGCATTAGATTAAATGCTCGGGTGAAAAGTCAACGATGTCCACAGCCTCTAGCCTGGTTCTGGGTTTTACATTTCAAGGTATAAGCATATTTTACGAAAATATCGAATTAGGAGATTAAGCTTTGTTACTTTTTATCTACATCATCAGTGCCATTAAAGAACCTTCTGGAGTGTATAATTCAAATCAATTTAATATGCATTTGCTGCACGTCTTTGAAATGAAATTACACTGACTAATGGAATTCCCTACGGTCTACTACTAGGAGATGAATAGGATGTGATTCAGATTTATTGCTGACCTGTTGGACATGGTCCAGGTGCTGATGTGTAATGGATCACTAGAGGGCAGCCATTCCGTCCACATATTGTTACATAGACTCACTTCTCTCAAATTTATGGCTTGTTGGCCAATTTATTATCATTTGGTGGTTTGGAAAGTAGAGACTTTATCCTCAGCCAAAAAAAAATGTACTTAACATTTCTTATTGCTTAAAGAGACACTTGTCATCTTGGCAAAGGAACAGTGTCACCTGATATCCCACACCCTGAACAAGGTATAATCACTAGTCCAATGCCTTCACCTTCCCAGGTACAGGAGACCACCTGGATAAGATCAGGTGTTAGATGGTGTCAGAGCTTACTAATATAGATGATGTTACTGATTCCCCCATGAGACAGTGTTCTGGCCTAGTGATTGGCCGCTCAAGCCCAAGTGCAGTGACATGGGGGAGATAACATGCACCCTCATACCCAGATGCCCAAATCTATTAAAGCAATGGAGCAGGTAGGTAGTGAAAGACCCTATGTTGTTATATATTGTAGGGAGGGTTGGAAATCAGGAAACAATGCTTCTTTGCTAAGGTGAGGTACCCACCAAGAAATAAAGGAAAACTTCCCCTTCTTGTTCCCTCTTTGCATTATATGATATGTCACATGATATGAGGGCTGAGAAAGAAGGGGTAGCTTGATTTCACTCTCCAATAAGCACCTGCGTTGAGAGCAGTATTTTTTGCTGCTATGGACTCTGATCATGTGGGGGGTACCAGTGTGCATCTGAGGAGGCATTGCTCTCTAATGACATCCCATGATGCTGACACTGAAATGAAGAGTTAAACTTTATTATGTTTAAGAAATATTATTTTATTTGCTGCTAAAACTTTTTCATTCTCTAAGCAGCAGCTTATTCATAAAGCCTGCCATTGACAGGAAACTTTCTTTCCCTGCATGCAAGTTTTGGAAACAGAAATGTTTGGAAACAGATTTA